GCCGCGGTCAGACATATCATGCCCCTCCGGCGCGGGCCAGCAGGATCGAACGTCAAACAAGAAGTACGGAGAGCCTGCAGCAATGCATGGCTGTGGCGCTGGAACATCACTGCTTTCAAGCCGCATTTGTTGCATGAAATAAGTTGAATTGAACTGAACGGGGTAAGCGCGACAAATGACAAGGCGCCCTCAACATACTCCTTCATGGCGTCAAGGCCAGATCGGTTCTCGCCTCAGCGTGCTCGCGCTAAAAAGGGAAGACGCATTTTGAATGAAAGGATTTGACGCCAACAGCTACCTCTTTAAATATGAACCCAAGGAACCGTCAGGCATCTCATAAGACACCGTGTCTCCCCAGGCAACAATCGTGATATTCAGCTTACCCACAGGCTGTACCATGGCGTCAGACGTCAGTCAATTTGAGGGCGTCAGTCGATCAATCGCTTCTCAAAGCACTGATTATTTTGAGCCATTGAGATGGTTCACCGGAAATGAAATGATGTTCAGTGCTCATTCATGCTCATTCAGTGCCTTCCACGAAAGCCCGGCGAAACAATCAATTGAGCGTGCACGATGGGAGTTGAGTTCCGCGCCAGTCGTGGCGCAAGATTGCCAGGCCAAGCTCTGACCCCTCAGTCGGTCAGCAGGAAGCAAAAACCGTATAAAGAAAAAGAACCCGAAGCAATGCAAAGAACCTCGTCAGCCTTTCAATGCAAAGAGCCCCAATGGCCCAAGCACAACATTCACTCAACTCACAAAGCCTCACGTCAAATGCAAAAAAACATGGTGCACAGGGGCACTATAAGATTTTGGCAGTTCTCTGGAGGCGGAACCTGGCTGCAAAGAATTGACCCAGGAGTTCAAGGAGGGTACAGGTGACAATAGTGGTTCCACTGAGATCAATGCACAAATGATATTTAGATTAAAGGGCAAAGATTAAGATTACACAAGATTTACGCCATTTTTTGTATGATACTGTGCATGGATTACATGGATCATTCAAAACTGTGATGGACATGCCATTTGGACATCATTTGGGAAACTTTGGAACATGTGTTTATATAAGTTATGCACATAAGCCGTTTCCGCGTAGGAATTTCTGTGGCATACTTCTGAAACTCTTTTGCGGCGGAGACATTTCGGGGGCACCGGAATTTCGCTCCGTCCATTGCGTCTATAACTATAGATAGCAATGACTCCTCTGGTTTGATGCTTCCGGCCAAAGTTCCTGCAGTGATTCGAGCTTTTGCGCACAAACGCTCGTTGCTTTCCAAGCCTTGCTGGCCATCGTCCCAGGAGTCACACGCTTTTCAACGCGCGCCGCCAGCAGTCGTCAGGCGAATGCAGGCGATGAAGCCCGTCAGGCGGAAACAGTCAACGCCTTTGCCGCACTCGCCGGGAGGAGTGCCTGTGGCCCGCGTGGGCCTGCACCTTACATGACGCAACCCGTAGGAAGAAAAGCCAAACCAAAGGTTTCATCATCCCTCATGAGCAACCAATGACAAAATCTAAACCGCCAAAGTCTAAGGTGCCAATTACATAGGAACATGAAAAACGATCTCCAAAGATTGCAGCGAGTGTCAAGCTCCATCTTCTCCCGCGCGAATTTCTGCACGTAGGCAGACGGATTGCGGGGCGGCTCATTGTCTCTCCCCGCCCCAAACCTCATACCTGAGTCAGCAAACTTCCAACTCGCCAATGATTTTCCTGACGCCGGACCCCGGATTGAACAGATAAGCAAAGCTTGAAAGAGCCAGGCCAGGGTGCGTGAGAGCTTCTCGCCAAACTCCACCACGTGTTGCCGCCCTTCATCACTATGGTCTGCCAGGGACGTCACAGCCTTGCGCATTCATTCTTCGAAGACCAATGCTGCAACCCACATCAAACCCCGTTAGCTAAAGGTTCAAAATCAAACAACGTGTGATCAATTGAACTTGAGCTGAGTGGCAGCCCAGGCTGCATCGTCCACCGTCAGCCGTTCCAGCGACCAAGCAGTTGCTGGAACCAGCTCCGTCAGGCGTTGTCTGACCTGGTGGGAACAAAACATGAGTCGACAAAATCACCGATGTAGCAAACCGTTAAACCCCAGACCAACTCCAGTCACCCAGATCCTCATGGCCAAGAAACAAAAGTGGAAGGGTCAGGCGAATCCAGCGGCGTCAGGCGAGCGGCGGCGGCGTCAGGCGAAGGCAAGGCGGCGTCAGGCGAAGGCAAGGCTTGCCTCAACCAAGCCTTTCCGAACTCCACCAGCTCGCCAAACATCAGGCGGTCATCTACGCCGCCGCGCGGCAACTCAGGCGCTTGGACGAACGGAGACAGTAGCCTCCGGGACAACGGCTTGGTGATGGCAGTGGTTAGCCATGGGCAATAAATGTATGAAAGGATCCCCCTTGACTTACCTATAGGGGTGTGGTTGCTACAATTTATATAAAGGGTAGGTGCTATAAAATGACTCTCCAAATAAAAGACTTGCCGACCGTTTTATGACATGACCTAACCAGCATCACAGAAAGCCAAGGCTAAATGTATGAAGGAAGAGGCACGCGCGTGACTTTTTGTAAACTGACTTTGCCTGCTTCATGATCAAAGCTGATGGCGCTCACATCCCAAAATCTGGCTCTGGCCATGTTTTTGTAATAAAATGGGTTGCCACAACAATCTCCTCCACATATTCTGGCATGTCCACATCCAAATCTTTATGAAATGACCCTCGGTAACCCATTTTGTAGTGAAGCTGGATCCCCATTTCATAAAGGTTAACTCATGGGGGACATCACCGGTTTAACCTAACTTTTTGGGCTCCCTTCACAAAAGTAATCAATCAGAAGCCAAGAAACCCATCCCAAGATGGAAGCCACAGCGTGATGGGCTCCGCATCGTCAGGCGCAAGCATGTCAAGCCAGCCCTCTTCCCTTGAATGCCATTAAAATTATCAGAAGCACGGCAGTTGAACGCCACTAACTATTAACCAGTAACCATATAATACATTATAAAACTTCAACTGTGACTGTGACAGGAACAACTAAAGCACAAATATTGCAATTAATTGCCAGCCCAGTCACCTCAGGCGGTATAAGACATTCGTCATACCAAGGGCGGCAGACACAGACCTTTGCCTCCCGTGGCTGCAAATCACTGAGAAGCAAATGGAGACGTCAGGCGCGGCCAGAAGGTGGCCTAAGACCATAGACACCAGGATCTTCACAACCGGCTTCCATGAGTCCTGAGACGCCACAGCCTCAAAGATGCGGATGTCGTCAGCCGGGTTGCCTCGTTGCCCAAACATTGGCCAGCATCAAAAAAGACCAAATGCCAAATGAGCCATAGTCAAAACCGGGGATTATTATCAGCCATTATTAGGGGATCTATGAACTAATAATAGGGATTCACCATTCCCAATATAATAAATGGGAATACCACTATATTGAGTTTTGACCATAGCTCAAATAAGGACCACCACTAGCCCTAGACAACTGCAATCTAAATCATGCAAGCGTCCTGGGATCCTCTCACCAGGGTCGTTGCGCCAGACAGCCCTCACGTCCCAGGTCAAATGCGAGTGATGCGTCAGGCGTCCTTGGTGCAGGTTAACGGTCAATGGTTAGACCCTACCTGCCCTCAATGTTCACGCAAGCAAAACCAAGTTATTAATCAAAGTTAAACCAGGAGTTAACTCCGAGACTCTGTGCAGCAGGCCGACCATGATGTCACGGCCTTTGCTACTGCCTTTGCCCAGGCCTTACCAAATCATTGCTCTCTACGAAAAACCTAAAGCCTCACCGAAACCAATGTCAAAAAAGACCTAATGCCATAGACCAATAATAAACCATTGAATTAACAGCAGCATCCAAAACGATCAAAAAGGCAATACTAAGTTGAGGAGAGCTGCCATTGCTATACCGCTCTTCAGAGCCCCAAGCAACAACCGCAACGTACGCCATGGTCCAGCGGTCAGTCGTGAAGCGTCAGACGTCAGGCGATATGCAGGCTAATTTTGCACCACAACAGCCGAGGTTAAAAACAGGTCAGGCCATGCAAGATCATGCAAGAACAGGTCCAACTAATCAGTCTTTTACCCACCGTATACCTTACCCCGCAATCAAGCCAGGAAGACCTGATGTTGGACTTGCCGAAGTTGACCACGTCAGCAGCAGGTGGCAGGTGGCGTCAGTCATCAGTCGTCAGGCGTCACATGAGAGCGTCATTGAAAACCTATCAAAGCCTATCTTCTGGACCAAACTACGAGAACAATGCAAGCGTCAAACATCAGGCCTCACCAACCAGCAGCAGCGAATAGTATATATATTACTGAGCTTACACGTCAGGCGTCAATGACAGAGTGATACAAATGCAAGCGTCGAACATCAGGCCTCACCAACCAGCAGCAGCGAATGCATTATGAGTAGATTAGTATATATATATATATACTAGATACGAATGCATGCGTCAAACATCAGGCCTCACCAATCAGCAGCAGCGAATGCATTATGAGTAGATTAGTAGTATATATATATATATATTACTGAGCTTACACGTCAGGCGGCAATGACAGTGATACAAATGCAAGCGTCAAACATCAGGCCTCACCAACCAGCAGCAGCGAATGCATTATTATGAGTAGATTAGTAGTGTATATTTCTGAGCCTACACGTCAGGCGGCAACGACAGTGATGCAATATCCAATACAACAATAAGAATTGACCAGCTTTGGGGGCTCAATCCTGGCAGCCACTAGAACCAAAACAAGCGAAAATCCACCAACTCCAAACCACCAACCCAATCCACCAATTTTCATCAGTATGAAGCTTCAAACAACTGAGAAGTCACCAAATAATTGTTGTGCGTGCTCCACAAAAGCACTATCAAGAGTGCTGCAGAGGACCAGGTGACAGATGGTCATCACAAGGAGACAGCAGAAGTTGCGAAGGCAAATTGTGAGCCAATTGCGACTCCGTTTCCACCGGCTGAAGCTTGGTCTCTACTCTTGCTTTGTGTTTTTCATGTGCAACACTTTGTTGCGGCTTAGACTTAAAAGCTTCTTAGCGCTCACAAGTCTCAGTTCTGAGGAATCGGTGGAGAAGGCGCCTGATCACAAATTGGCTTCAAAACCTGCTAAGACCAGACTGGAACCGAAGGAGGCGCCAAAAGAACAACCACCGGAAGCTGGATTTGTATTTGTTTAAGATGCTTTGTTAGTTTGTTTGTTCGAGTTGTGCTGTTCTTTGCTGTCAGTTTGAGAGAAGGTGGCTGGCCTGAGTCATTTTTTCCGAGGAGTTTGCCAGAAGCTTGCCGGGCAGCCACTCTAGACACATAGAATCACAAGAGAGCGTTGTGGATGATCCAGTGGAACATGACGACATTGAAGAGGTTGTGGAACCTGCCGACCCCAATCCGGAGTCGAAGGAGATGGCTAAAGTTATTGTTCCAATGTTGTGCACTTTGTTCAACAAACCGAGGACAAATACATTGTTTTTGCCTGGGTTGAATTTTTTTTCTTTTGCAGCACAACGTTTATATACCTCCTACGATCTCTTACGTGTAGGTGAATCTAAGCTTCAAACAACTGAGAAGTCACCAAATAATTGTTGTGCGTGCTCCACAAAAGCACTATCAAGAGTGCTGCAGAGGACCAGGTGACAGATGGTCATCACAAGGAGACAGCAGAAGTTGCGAAGGCAAATCGTGAGCCAATTGCGACTCCGTTTCCACCGGCTGAAGCTTGGTCTCTACTCTTGCTTTGTGTTTTTCCACGTGCAACACCTTGTTGCGGCTTAGACTTAAAAGCTTCTTAGCGCCCACAAGTCTCAGTTCTGAGGAATCTGTGGAGAAGGCGCCTGATCACATATTGGCTTCAAAACCTGCTAAGACCAGACTGGAACCGAGGGAGACGCCAAAAGAACAACCACCGGAAGCTGGACTTGTATTTGTTCAGGTGCTTTGTTTGATCAGATGTTGTCCAGTTACATGTCATGGTAGATACCGATGTATGTTTCACTGTAGCCGTTTTGCTCAGCTTTGCTTACTTTCATTGACTCAGAGTTTTAGTGAAAAGTTAAAGTGTGCCTAAGCTTTGAACCTATCCTTTGGGTACTGTGACACAGGGTCACTACGTTTGTGCGCCTAAAACATCCGTTCATGGTAGCGGAGCTGTGGTTCTAAGACCCAGCTACCGTCTGCGGATCGAAGATAGCCGAACAGCATCAGTTCTCGCGCCGGAGCTCCGTGATCACAAACATGACTTGCAGAGAAGCGTTGGGAGATTGGTCAGCAGTCTGTATGGCACCAGAGGCGCACCCATTAACTGGGAGCTGACCTTCGCAGAGCTCATGAAGAAACTAGGGCCCAAATCCATGTATTTACCACCATCCAGCTGGAAGTTTTGAAGACACCAAATGGCTGCACACCTCAGAAGCCAAAGAATGGCAAGTTGTGGAACAAGGAACTCTCGGTCCACCTGGATCACCAAAAGCCAGTCAACAGATAGATCAGAGTGCTGAACCGCATCATCACCTGGTCAAACGAAGGCGTTTGGTGGGAACCAGATCCAAAGCATGCACAGTTGATCATCAAATCAAGTGGTTAGGCACTGGTAAACCAGGCAAAATCAAGACACCATTGGCCAAGCCAAGAGGAACTGCAACATGAAGAAGTTCCTTTGAATGCTGAAGAGGCAACTATGTACATCTATGAGAGCAGCGTATTTGGCGCAGGACAGGCCTGACTTGCAGACAGCCACCTGCTCACTGGCACAAGGTACAGAGCCCGACCTCAAGGCACTGGAGCATGCTGGCGCGATATGTCAGGTATCGACCAAGGACTGCACCGCCGTTTCCAAATCAGAGCGCCTGCAACCCCTTCAACATGTGGCCAGATGCCGACCATGCAGGATGCAGAAGGACACGAAGGAGTGTCAGGAGGCGTACTCATGTCATGGCCAACAAACGCCGTCTCACTACCTACAGCAAAGGCCAAGGAGTTGTCTCCCTTAGCAGTGGCGAATCTGAGTACTATGGACTTGTTTCTGGAGCACGTCAGATGCTTGGAGTCGTGTCAACTGCAAAGGATTTGGGGTTTGTTTCCCAACGAGGTGACAATGGACGCTTCCAGGCATAGGAGCCGTCGAGGTTTGGGACGCCAAACACGGCACGTTGACACTCAGCTCCACTGGGCACAAGAACGGCGAAGAAGGAGTTCCGCAGGAGTTCCGCCTCAAGAAAGAAGGCGCCGACCGAATGCCGGCCGATGTGCTGAGGAAAGCTGTCACAAGATGCACGCTGCCATGAAAGGAATGAACTTCCTTTACTGGGAAGGTGAACACTGAGAGCTTGAACAGCTTGAGCCAGAGTAGGTACTTCTTGGTCAGGAAGATGTGCTGAAGGGCGATTGACTCACTTAACTTCTGGGAGATGTTAAACTCGGGAGGCGTGATCGGATGTAGCACCAGTTACATGTCCTTTATGTTTCACTGCAACCGTTTTGCTCAGCTTTGCTTACTTTCATTGACTCAGAGTTTTAGTGACAGCGCGCCCAAGATTTGAACATATCCTTTGGGGACTGTGACACAGGGTCACTACGTTTGGCCTAAAATCTCCGTTCTGTTAGTTTGTGTGTTCGAGCTGTGCCTTGTTTGCTATCAGCTTGAGAGAAGGTGGCTGCCCTGAGCGATGATGTTTTTCTGAGGAGCTTGCAGGAAGTTCTCTGGGCGACTCTAGACGCACACAGTTTGAAGAAAGCGCTGTGGATGATCCCATGGAAAATGGCGGCCTTGAAGAGGTTGTGGAACCTGCCGACCCCAATCGGGTGCCGAAGGAGACACTGCCGGCTTAAGTGTTGTCCTTTATTCCCTTGTTCAACAACCGGGGAACAATACATTGTTTTTGATTGGGCTGGACTCCGTTTCCTTTCGCAGCACAACGTTTATATACCTCCTACGATCTCTTACGTGTAGGTGAATCTAAGCTTCAAACAACTGAGAAGTCGCCAAATAATTGTTGTGCGTGCTCCACAAAAGCACTATCAGAGTGCTGCAGAGGACCAGGTGACAGATGGTCATCACAAGGAGACAGCAGAAGTTGCGAAGGCAAATCGTGAGCCAATTGCGACTCCTTTTCCACCGGCTGAAGCTTGGTCTCTACTCTTGCTTTGTGTTTTTCATGTGCAACACTTTGTTGCGGCTTAGACTTAAAAGCTTCTTAACGCCCACAAGTCTCAGTTCTGAGGAATCGGTGGAGAAGGCGCCTGATCACAAATTGGCTTCAAAACCTGCTAAGACCAGACTGGAACCGAAGGAGACGCCAAAAGAACAACCACCAGAAGCTATTTGTATTTTTTAAGATGTTGTGTTAGTTTGTGTGTTCGAGTTGTGCGGTACTAGGGTGGAGGCCATCGCTAGCCCAAGGGGCATCTCGGAGAGAGACGTCTTGGAAGAGACTCTCGTTAGGCTGTTGATTTGCTATTAGGAGCAAAGGGCATCACTACTAGGAGCAAGGACACTACTAGGGGCTCCTGGCATCACTACTAGGAGCAAGGACACTACTAGGGGCTCCTGGCATCACTACTAGGAGCAAGGACGCTACTAGTGGCTCCTGGCATCACTACTAGGAGCAAGGACGCTACTAGTGGCTCCTGGCCATACTACTAGGAACAATGTTCGCTATTAGGGGCTCCTGGCATCACCACTAGGAACAAGGACGCTACTAGGGGCTCCTGGCATCACTACTAGGAGCAAGGACGCTACTAGGGGCTCCTGGCATCACTACTAGGAGCAAGGACGCTACTAGGGGCTCCTTGTGTTTTTTGTCTTTACTGTTGCACGCCTTTACTGCGACCGACCGCTCAGCCTCGGAGGCGTTACCGACCTCACCAGCGAGCGGGAGCATCTCTTTCCGAGCCGAAGCACAGGCGCGCGACGGATGCCACCTGGCCTTGGATGGCCTCCAACCTAATAGCGATGAAAGATGGTGAAAAGGTGAAAGTGACTCCACACACGATTTGGCTTCAACGTTTCCCACCGGAATGTGAGCAAATTTGTTGTGAGAACCCTGACATCAAGGGCATCCAGCATGCTACCGTCCTGGCCATTAAAAAACATGAGCGAAGTTCGAAAAACGTGCAGCCGGCCAACACTTGAGGTCACATGTTTCCAGCGGATCAATTCACAACATAACCAAGTTCTGTGATTGACTAATCCCACCGGCCAGCTCATGTAAGCATTGGTTATTGGGGTTGCAATGGCTGATGATTTGCAAATGATTGCATGGCATGGTGTTACTGAGCACATTGCATTGCCGTTCGCTCCAGGCATTTTTTGGCACAGCGGCTGAAGTGCATGAAGGCTGAGAGACGGTGTGCGAACACATGCGAACACTGCATGATTCAAGCTTCATACTGGTACCGTGAGAGGTTCTGTGCATTTCTTCGATAAGAAACAAGAAGCTAGTAGTAACAAGTGCCTTACTAGTAGTAACAAGAAGCTAGGTTTTGCTGTGAGAGGTGAGGTGTCAGCTCTAATGAGACCCCTCCCATCCAGCAGTTTGGTTGCAATGAGATGAAGCTGAAGCTTATCTCAGTGCCCGGCATCGCTCGGCAATATGTTGTTGATCTTTCGAGGCACGACCTTCCTGCCAGCGAACGCCTTGGGAAAGGAGGAGGATGGAGACATTTTCTTCACTCCTCGCAAGGTCCCAAACCGAAGGAGCAGAACACGTCCTTTGACATTCGATTTGTTTGATTCACCGTATTGAATAGTGTCCAGTCAAGTTGGATGTGAAACAAGGGTTTTAGATGAATTTAGATGCCAAGATCGAAGGATATCCAGGAGTGTGATTGGATCTGCTGAAGAATGGCACAGCTGCGATTCCTCCGAAAGCATGGAGGCTGACCGTGAGAAGAGGCGGAAGAACTCTACAGAAGCTTTCGCTCAACCTTAGCAGCTTTTCTATTTTGCACATTAGGTTGGAGGCCACCGCTATTAGGTTGGAGGCCACCGCTATTAGGTTGGAGGCCACCGCTATTAAGGTTGGAGGCCACCGCTATTAGGTCGGAGGCCACCGCTATTTAGGTTGGAGGCCACCGCAAAAAGGTTGGAGGCCACCGCTATTTAGGTTGGAGGCCACCGCTATTAGGTCGGAGGCCACCGCTATTAGGTTGGAGGCCACCGCTATCCCAGAGGAGCATATCCTAGGAATCATTCCCACGATGAACCCAAACCAGCTCAATCCCCCCCTACCAGCACCATCACCCCCACAACCATCTCAATCAGCACAAGCTGTCTCAACTCATTTGCTCCCAAAAAGCACCACCAGCGCCAAAGCACACCTTTTCCCCTCACAGTGAACGATCAACGCCAGCGCCATCCCTCATCTTCACCTGGCAGTCAAAACATTCAATCAATCAGGATCCTACCATGTTTGATTCCTACCATGCTTGTCAGACCTACCATGCATGTCAATCCTACCATGTGAACATGCCTATTCCATGCTCATGTACCTACCATGCTGACATGCATGCGGTACATGTTTTAAAATATATACATGCGTGGCATGTCAATCATGCGGCAGCCACCAACTTCTGGACTGCTTGCGCAATTGAAAACTTCAATCCTGCGCAACGCAACAGCATTAACAAAACACACACACACACAACACACAACAAGTCAATGTCCTGCTGTGTAGCGCAGCAGCGTCGTCAGATGGCTGGTTCGTTTGTGTGTCTTCTTCGCCAAGTTGGCAACTGTTCGCACAAAGTCTTCTTCCATCCAATTGGCTTGAACCACGGGGTTCCGCCCTGTCTGGGCAGCAGTCTCTAGCATGTGAACCTGCATATGAAACTTCGGCCTCACGTTGAACAAGAGGTAGCAACAGAAGCCTTTGTAGCGAATGTGCAAGGACAATAGCAGTTTGTTGTGGTAACCCCCAACAACCCTCAGAGCTTCCTTGCTCTCCTCCGAAAGGAGTAGGCCGGAATTTTTTCCCTTAGCACGCAGCCTGTCTCCCTTGGCCTTCTCCATCACCTGATCGGCGGCGGTGGTGGGTTCACAGCAAAGTATCCAGTCGTGAACCTGCAAGCAAGTGACACTGCCGCAGTGCATGTTCATGCTCTCTCAAGCCAGCCTCCAAACCCAAGGCAAGGCTGGATCTTGCTCTTCCTCATCCTCAATCTCAATCGGCCCAGAAGGCCAAGGAGCTTGAGCAGCTGCTTTTGGAGCTGGGGCTGGTTTGGCAGCTGCCTGTGTCACAGGCTTCAGAGGTGCTGGTCTGCTCTTGGGCTTCCTGTTCGTGACAGCTCGGAGCCATTCTGCCTGGAGGCAAACTTACAAACAAAATTGGCAGGCCCAATCGAAAAAGGGCCTTCTTCTTGTCACCATCAGGGACGCACAGCGTCTTTATGTAGGTGGTGCTCCAACGAAGTATTTCAGGGTTCGACTTGCTGCTACTGGCCTCGCGTCCAGCATGCCCAGCACACAGGCAAAGCCTGCAAATTACCTTGCCTGCGCCTTTGCCCTTGCTCCCTTCTTCTCTGCCTCCAGAGAAGAGATCATAACTGTCAAAGCCAAAGCACACACGACAGTCCCAAGCCTTTAAGTCCTGCTGCTCAGGATGTTTTACTGTCTTCTTGTGGTTCACCATCGGACCAAAACAGCTGCAGAAAGAAGCAACATGTAACATGTAACATGTTTCACATGTGGTGCGTGAGCCGCCCATGCTACACTCAAAGCAAATGAAAGTCAATTGAGGCCAGTGCAAGTCTGCTCGCCCGCAATCTGCTACAAATCTCCCCTTTAAGAGCCCAAGCAGCTCTATATGCACCAAACTGATACAAACCCTATTTCACTACAAATCTTGTTTAAAGCACTTGCCAACACATAACCAAAACAAAACATCAGGGGTGATTCTCACGATGGAGGGGTGATTCCCACGAAATGATCAAATCATCATGATCACCCCCCTATCTCCCATCTGAGGTTTATTCCTACGACTCGCTCCTCTGGGATTAGGTTGGAGGCCATCGCGATTAGGATTGGAGGCCACTGCTATTTAGATCGGAGGCCATCGCGATTAGGATTGGAGGCCACCGCTATTTAGGTTGGAGGCCACC